GATTGTAAATTGTATTTGTCCTTTTCACCTGCCGAATTACCCACGTCCATCCTCGCCTTAAACGAAGATCTTACGAGAATATCTCAGTGGTGCTGTAAAAACTCTCTTTTGATTAATCCGGACAAAACTAAGGTTCTAGCTGTTGGATTACCACAACTTTTAAAGAAACTGTCATCATTCAGTATAACACTTTTTGACAAGGAAATAACACCTGTGCCTGTCGTTAAGGACTTGGGTGTTCTTCTCGACACACACCTCAGTTATAACCAACATATCACTGAGATTGCCTCTAAATGCCTTTTTAAATTGTACCAAATTAACAGAATCAAGCACCTCCTGGATAGGAAAACACTTCTGTTAGTAATAAATTCATTTGTCTTTAGTAAACTCCAATATTGTTCAACTGTCTGGAGTAATACCAGCAGCAGCAATATTGACAAGTTACAAAAAGTCCAAAACTTTGCTGGGCGAATTATTCTGGGACTAAGAAAGTATGACCATATTTCGGATGGGTTGCGATCGTTGAAATGGCTTCCTATTAGAGAGAAACTCATTCTAAATGACGCTACTATGATGCACAAATGTATTAACAAGCTTGTTCCAGACTATCTTGCTGATATGTTTAAATCACGTTCTCAAGTCCATAATAGACAAACTCGATCATCTGGTGCTTTGGATATACCTTTATGTCGCCTGTCAACAGGGCAGCGCTCCTTTGCTTTCAGAGGAGCCAAACTCTGGAACTCCTTGAATGATAACATTAAGTCCTTAAAATGCCCCAGGAATTTTAGACGTCATCTTGCAAATGTTTTATTAAGTTGATATATTATATTATTGATATATATTTTGTAATTATAATATTATTGTATTTACATTCTCAATTAATTTATATATTTGTATTTTTTTTTATTCTATTGAGCTGAAAAGCCCACTTAGGGAGCATCAATAAAGTGTATGTAAGTGTATGTATGTATGTAATGTATGATAATGAGTTTGAAACAAAGGAAAATAAAATTTGAACCAAGGATAAAATTGAAATACAACATATACATCTGTCGTCCCGAAATATTTCTCGGCCATTTTAGTCTTACTTCCTATTAATAGATTCCATGGAACTTGAGATCTCTTCATTTACGGACAAATTCGCATATTCCATTTCGAAGTATGATCCACATGCCATTTGCACACATGCGAAAATATTTAGCGATTTTTATCTTTCATCTTGATTTTTGAGTGTAAACGTAAATATGCACCTACGTTTTTTTCGTCGGAAATAAGTTCTTTTATTAGTCTTCTTTCACTGGAGCTTGTTTTTTGGCAAATATGATTTTTAAAAAAATACTGCGGATTGTGTTTGCTTTCTTGGTTTCTCCAAGATTTTGACTTTTCACAGGCACGTGTTACACGTAAGTGTCAAAGGGTTTCATCTATACTGGATTAATTTTTGGCTAAAAATTTTTAATATATGTAAAGAAATTTTATTGCAAAATTTTCACTTATTGGGAGCTCCACTTTTAGGCTTGGCTAAATCTATATATTATTGAGTTTACTTTCATGGATTATCATAGTTAATTGTGTATTTTTTGAGACTACAGATTGCATTCCGGCGCCTTACGAGCCCACACAATTTTGTTAGCCTGAAACCTCTACTCTTGCTTATTTATGCATGTATCAAAATGAACTCGAACCCACGTGACTACAACACTTTCCAGCAGACATCATCTGTTAAACTGTATTCAGTAGATTGCGATCAAACGAATACCGATGGAGCCAGCACCATCCACCGTGCTTTTAACGGAATATTGATTTTAAAACGATTTCCGTTACAGGATGATTTCTTTGCTCAAGATGGAGGCAGTTCTTCTCACCTTCCTGTTGTGCTTTCTTCGCACTCAACTTGCATCTTCAGAAGCAGGTACAGAATTACTTTAAAACTGAACGAGGCTAGACATTGGGAAAGAGTGACTCGTAAAGACAAAATTTTTGTATATACGGAAAATCAAATCGCTTTATTTCAGTCTAAAATTTTTGTTGAGATGGCTTGGAAATCGTTTGGATCTTTGACTAGAGACCACAACAAATTTCGTTCGTTTATTTATTGGTTCATTATTGATTAATTCACACATCACTATCTCTGCACAATTCTCTCTCCCTATTCCATATCATTTGCCTATTTGCCTATAGATTTTATACTATCATTAAGATATCACTAAAATGACTTAGTATATAATTATATCGTGGTGTAGCTTTGTAAAACATCACAATATGACAATGCATGACCTCACAGTCTCTCCCTTCCCCACTGCCAATTTGGAAAATAGACCATCAGGTCCTCTTCTTTCTAAACCATTGTAGTAATGTTCAACTCTAATAACACGAATCAGCAAGCCAAAATGCTTTTGTTCTTTATCTGATTGTTTACAGAAGAGACCAATTACCCTAATGGAGCAGAGATAACATTCGTCATTGATACCGACGGAACTACTCCCTACAGAAATTTTTATCAAGCATTTATTGTTCAGAAGATTGTGAAAAAAATCGCTGCAGATGTTGCCAAACTCAATATCTCATTGATATTATCGAGCCTCACCCATGAGTGGGTTTATTCCTACTGGATTTCATTTATACAATATGTATCCGTCGTGAGGGGTCTACCATTTTTCAAATTATCTTTGAACACAGTATCGAGAGAAGTGTTCTCGAATCCTAACCGGAACGTTTCTAAGATTACAATTGTATTTTTGAACGGGTATAGTGCGCACCTTGATAATTCACATGTTGCACCTGTAAATGCACTAAGGCAAAAAGGTGTTCGAATTTTTGTTGTCGGAATTGGTGCAGACGCTCTGGAAGATATTCTAAAGAATATTACAGAGAGAGAAGAAGACTTAATTATTGAGAAGAGCATCTACACTTTGCGTTATCGTATTGGTCATTTGGTGAAAATGATTTTTGGAGCCATTGGTAAGCTGGATATAAAGTGTACCTAAAACTAATAGAATTTATCTCTGCATTTTCTTTTAGACCTATTTTATTAGGTTAACCTTTTTCGAGGGCCAGGATAGATCTATAAAAATACGTTGAATAGTTTGCCGATGAAATGATTTGGCTTTAATTTGCCACGACTGTTTACAAAACAGAAATTACCGTAGCTCCTGTTGTTAGCCATTCCTGTTCGTGAATTAAAGATGACCAGTTTTCTCATCCTTTCTTTGGCAAAAAAGCATCCAATTAGCCAATTATATCGCATTATATGATATTTCATTATTTTTTGAGATGGTTTCTCTCAAAAGAGCAGCGGCGTAAACCTTACGGCCTGGAACCTAGTTCAAGATGGTGTCACGCTACATTTCAATCATAAAAGTATTGATAACAGCGTTTCCGTTGAAGACTTGGTTTAAAACAGTTGTGTGATTTTTTCGGCAGATAATCCTTTGGTTCGTTTTAATGAGCATCAAAACTGGTTTTTCGCCGGGAGAAAAGCCGCATTACATTGTGTTGCATCAGGCTGGCCTCTTCCAACAGTCAAGTGGCTGCTTAACGGCAAGCAAGTTAAAGATGGAGATCTTAACGAAACAATTCATCTCAAGGAAACGGTTACCGAAGAGTCAATCACTCTGTCACTTCACTTTTCTGAAGTAAACCATCAGCACGTTGGAGAATTTACCTGCGAAGCTGAAAACAAGTTCAAATTAACAGGGCGTAATACCGAAATGTCAGTTAACTGTAAAGAACTATTTCGTGTTTGAAGTTTTCTTTTCTGTTCTCATTAGCAATAATAAGTAGAGTACGAAAAAAAAATTATGTTTACTCTAAAACATTTTCGCATCTGCAATAACAGAAGGCATTAACATTTTTTCCTTGCACAACCCATTTTTATTTTCTATCATTTTACACCTCGACAAAAGCTGTCGCAGAGTGAAAAAGAGAGACTTCAAACATACTTATGCGGAGGAATTAAGGGGAAATTGAGGGAGAATTAAAGTGTTTGTTAATTTTAAGAAATTCAGATTAAAAAATGTCTCTTTTAATCCAGTGATGCCCATTCTATTTGCATGGGGAAAGTTCAGGGCTAAGAGTCAGCTCTTGCATAATCAGCAGATGTTTTAGGAAGAAACTGGTCTCACTTCAGGCGAAATCAGTAATGTTTGAACTGTGTTTCACAGGCCCACCAGTTGTCATCACGCTAACTACAAAATACGAGGCATTTCCATCAAACTCAACAGTTACATTAAGATGTCAGGTTAACGGTCTGGATCATCAACAGTTGCATTCTTACCATTGGCAGTGGAAATTTCAAGGTCGGGAAATAGAAAACACAACAAAGTACAACGTTTCTATTCGTAAACAGCCTGCTAACGTGTGTCAGCTGTCGAGAGAATCTGCCATCCTTAATATCAATAACGTTTCCACAGAAGATTTTGGACAATACACCTGTATGATACTCCAGTCTAATATCACACGTGCAGTGAGAGAAATATCTTTTCATTCCTTTGGTAAGGCTTTTCATTATTTTGATAATGACCCTATTACTCCCTCGATAATCTTTCACAGTCTTCACTTGGTACCTTTGAATAAACCTGGGTAAGAGCGAAACTGGGATCAAGTCCCATCAAAAGCTTTAATTTAATTGCCAATATCATCACCATCACCATCATCATCATCATCATCATATTATGGTGGAATTCTGATTTGAATTGTTAAACTCGTCGATGTGTTGTTACCCTTGCTTTTTCCCCCTATTTTGATATCCACGTCATCGTTAAGTGCTTTGTTGCATTCATCAGTGGCACCACCACCCCAGATTTTCATGGCGGAATCACACGTGTGGACGCGCTCTAAAGCTGCAGTGGAATCCTCCACTCTTGATTGACAGTACAGTTAATGGTTACCAAGTTACCTTGAGATCTGTCAATGGAGAACTCAAGCGGCTATCTAATCTCTCGCGCGAAGTTCGTTCTCACGAATTTGATGGACTTGAGATTAATACAGTCTATAAAGTCAATATTCGAGCCAGAGATTTAAACGGATTTGGTCTCTGGGCAAGACAACAGCTAACGACGACGGCAGGTAAGATCGATAATAAAGCTATTGAAAATATCCTTGCCAAGACATACTTATCTTCTGAAGGCAAAATTTGGCGAAATTTGATACTTTTAAAAGTCTCCCCTATTGAAATCGACATTGGAATCAGATACAATCAGCTTATGACACATTTACAACAAAAATTGTGCCACGTTTGACAACCGTGTCTCTGCGCAACATCAGAAATCATGATTAAAATTTGGCGTGTTTTTTGTATCTACTCTATNCTAACGTGTGTCAGCTGTCGAGAGAATCTGCCATCCTTAATATCAATAACGTTTCCACAGAAGATTTTAGACAATACACCTGTATGATACTCCAGTCTAATATCACACGTGCAGTGAAAGAAATATCTTTTCATTCCTTTGGTAAGGCTTTTCATTATTTTGATAAGGACCCTATTACTCCCTCGATAATCTTTCACAGTCTTCACTTGGTAACTTTGAATAAACCTGGGTAAGAGCGAAACTGGGATCAAGTCCCATCAAAAGCTTTAATTTAATTGCCAATATCATCACCATCACCATCATCATCATCATCATCATATTATGGTGGAATTCTGATTTGAATTGTTAAACTCGTCGATGTGTTGTTACCCTTGCTTTTTCCCCCTATTTTGATATCCACGTCATCGTTAAGTGCTTTGTTGCATTCATCAGTGGCACCACCACCCCAGATTTTCATGGCGGAATCACACGTGTGGACGCGCTCTAAAGCTGCAGTGGAATCCTCCACTCTTGATTGACAGTACAGTTAATGGTTACCAAGTTACCTTGAGATCTGTCAATGGAGAACTCAAGCGGCTATCTAATCTCTCGCGCGAAGTTCGTTCTCACGAATTTGATGGACTTGAGATTAATACAGTCTATAAAATCAATATTCGAGCCAGAGATTTAAACGGATTTGGTCTCTGGGCAAGACAACAGCTAACGACGACGGCAGGTAAGATCGATAATAAAGCTATTGAAAATATCCTTGCCAAGACATACTTATCTTCTGAAGGCAAAATTTGGCGAAATTTGATACTTTTAAAAGTCTCCCCTATTGAAATCGACATTGGAATCAGATACAATCAGCTTATGACACATTTACAACAAAAATTGTGCCACGTAAGACAACCGTGTCTCTGCGCAACATCAGAAATGTTGATAAAAATTTGGCCTGTTTTTTGTATCTACTCTATATAAACTTGTGAATTGTATCTCAGTTGTACCAACCGCGTTGAACTTCCAAGCTAAACCACATGGCTGCAGTGCTGAGCTGTCATGGGACAAAACCGTAAACCACAGCTGCTCAATCACGAAGTTCACGATTTACTACAGGAAGTCAATTACAGAAAGGCTGTTGGCCAATAGCAGTGTGTGGATTGTGAAGACCCTTAACGGGTCAAATGTTTATGTAAAGAAATATCGACTCTGGTTGGGTTGTGCCCAGAAATACGAAATCATGGTTATGGCCTGGAATCAAAGGGGGCATAACGACTACAATGAGAACTCTGTGTTGTCGGTACTCACAGAAGAAGGTAAAGATACGGATTTCATCGGTATACACCTAACGCAAATATGGCGTCCAATTTGAGTTGCCATTGTTCGAGACTCACTAGCCTCTCACACATGTAATAATCCCTTTGTGTTTCCACGCGAAGACGAGGCTAGTGAGTCCAGAACAATGGAAACTCAAATTGGACGCCATATTTGCATTCGGTGTATACACCACTGAAAATGTTCCTCCGAATGAAATTCAGTTTCTCATTAGACAGAATCAGCTGTTGTTGTTTTTGTTCATATTGTTGTTATCTTAAATGAATACACGGATACGACATGTTGGCATCATCCCTGGGGTATCATCGCAAAATCATTTTCAAATGAAGAAAAGTTTGAATCTAACATCTGCGTGTATATATGGATATAGATAGATAGATAGATAGATAGATAGATAGATAGTTCATTAAAATATCATGTAACAGCCAAAAGGCTGAGTTGCCTGATATTTCACAATAAATAGAGAAATGTATAGAAATAGAATATGCAAGAAGAAGTCCCCCTATGTCTCCATCATAAATTTGAAAAGATAAACAGAAAATTCATCCCGAATCCGATTCTGTGTTGAGTACAGGTTAGTTCAATCGAGGCACAACATAAAAAGATCAGAATATTGTT